CCAAGTTTGAAGGAAGAAAGTAACCACAGCCTAATAGTTAGAAAAGCCCTGAAGGGCTGTTGATGATGATCTTGGGGTTTTGCAAATACTCCCTTAGGTGTTGGTACATACCAGAAAGATGAGAAACGTGAAATGCTGCCAGCTCTGAGTTGCTTTGAAAAGCAACCTTTTGATACTTGGTTTTTCTGAAAGTGCAGGCTATAGGAACAAGAAGGTCAGTTGAGCAAGTGTGGCTGAAAGATCCTGAAAACACAACATGAAGGACAAGAACCACAAATGAATTGGTTTAATAGTTAACATTATTTTTTTGTCATATCTCTTAACTTTCTACTGCTCGAGGTTGTAATATGGGAGAGCCTCAGGCCAGTAAAGGTCTCTGATGGCCTTATTCTTCGGCAGTTCAAGCAGAGTGCCATGTTTGTACAATTGTGTGGGGAAGGGCTTACACTGAATTGCCCTTACAAATGTTTTCAGGATGATAGTCCCCATCATTGTAGGAACACATTTTGTATTGGGACTTTCAGCATTTTTTCCATGTGTGCCAAAAACATACAAGATAAATGAAACACTGGAGAGACTCCCATCATGGCTCAGTTATTGCCTTGGAATTAAATTCAAGAAGAAGGTAGAGCATGGTTTGCTCAACCCTGTTGTGTCTGCTCGGGACTAGACCATCTTTCCCTTCTCCACTGTGCTTGGCCTGGTTCTTTACTAGACTTACTAGGAAGAAAGCACTTTCTTCCTTCTTATCCTCCTCCAGCACAAAATTGGAGGTGTTTTTTTTCCAGTGGGGAGACTCTTTGCCACCTGGCAGTTCTTCATCCTCTGAGAGTTGTTTTTCTTGCTTAGCCAGGAGGGATATTTTCAGGCTGCAGCTTTAACATCTATTCTGGCTACATTCATTTCACAGGAAAAGGCTTTTGTCTCCTGCTCCCATGTGTTGAGACATTTGTTCTAGTGTTCCACCTGTCTTACTACAGGCTAGTGGTAAGACCAGAAAGATGTAGTGACTAACCCTTGGACAATGCAGGCTTTGGTAAATGTGGAAGAATTCCTATGCTTTCACCAAAAGGGAATCAACTGTAAGTATAGACTATGTATGTTCTTGGTTAGATCCCAGCTCATGGCACTGTTTGACTTTGTTAGACACTCCGCTTACCGTTGGAGAACGTTTTCTGGCACTTAGAATTGCAAATAAAAGGTTGAAAATGCCACCCTAGTTTTACTAGGGCAACAGTGGCTGCGGGTAGCTGCAAGGAGTGAATCTTGGAGGTTCTTAATGCCCCACTCCCTTTCTGACATGAACCCGGAGGAGAGGAGTCCCTGACACAGTGCTCTCCTGCCCATTCCCTAGGGTGCAACCTGGGTTGTAGAGTTATCCCTTCCACTACTGCCCTTGCATCTGCTGCCCTGCATTAGTAAAAAGGCATCTAATGGAACTGAGGCTGTAGGAAGAGAGACCAGGTCCTTATCTGCACATGTGTTGCCATTTTCCTGCCCTGCTAGGGAGCCTTTTTGTCTGGGGAAGACAAGCTTTTGGCTCTTGGCCAATGGGGAGCTGATATTTTCAAAGTTCATCTAGGCAAAGAGTTTGGAACTGGCTGAAGCTTTGCATTTCCAGTGCCAGCTCCTCATGATTTGACTAGAAGCACTTTTCTAAGATGTGTGAAAAAATAAAAGTTATTAAAATTCCTGGGTTGCTGATTCTATTTGAATCTGAATAGTCACGCTTTTATTAATATCTAGTAATTTATGTCACTGGTGGCATAACCTCAGTCCTTGGTCTTTGCACTTAAAATGAAAATGTAACCTCACCTCGTTCCAGTGCAATGCAGTTTACAGCTACATTGCAGGCTGTGAGGGGAATCAGTGCTTCAGTGCTTGAACTCCATAGAATAAGCTGATGACACCTTTTGCTATCACTGTCTGGATATAGGTAAGAGTTTATAGAAGGAGTTTTGCAGCATACACCATATGAAGCACACCATCACAAAAAACTTGGTGGGTGCAAGTTTTTAGAGTAAACATGGCACAGAGGTTCAAGTAAGAGAAATGAGTTGGATGGCTGAGTATGAAAATAATAATCTAGTATCACTGATTTTTCTTCTTCCTCTGTTATAATAACTTGACACTAAACAATGACAGAGGTAGGATTATCTTGCTTTCTTCAGTATTGTACTTACCCATGTTGTGCCTAACCTGTTATGGATAAAATAGTTTTGTCTCTGCTTCTGACAGTGTCTTTCTTCATTGCAAATTCTTCTGTCATTGTGTTTTAAGGTGTCTATCATCTTGATGCCCAAGTGCCAATTAAAATGCAGAATTATCACATAGCACAATTAAAATAAAAACCAAAGAATCCTAGTTTACAAATCCCTAATCTAAATTTAGCTCTTTTTCAGTCACTGTTTCTTCACTAATTGCAAAACCAAGTATTTGAAAAAAAATTGTAGCTATCAGATATTTTGTTATCTGACTACAGGGTATGAAGTGTTTTTAATTGTTTTTCTGATTAACTGCAGGCTCCCAAATTCAAGCAGAAGCATATTTCTGTTTTTCTTGTGAGATCCTGTACCTTACCAATGGATGAGTATGTTTGTGGTACTGTAT